ACTACTCCGGGCCATTCAATCTCTGTACGCCCGGAGTGAGAGCTGTGTTCGTATACTCGGCATTAAGTCGGACTCTTTCAGTGTTAGCGTTGGACTCCGCCAGGGTTGTGCCCTGTCTCCACTCCTGTTTGTGATATTCATGGACAGGGTGTCAAGGCGTAGCCGGGGTCAGGAGGGCATTATGTGTGGAGGCCGGAGGGTGGCGTCTCTGCTATTTGCAGATGATGTTGTTCTTTTGGCTGGATCACATGGATGCCTCCAGCGCACACTGGAGCGGTTTGCAGCTGAGTGTGAAGCGGTTGGTATGCGGATCAGCACCTCCAAGTCTGAGTCCATGGTCTTAGCCCGGAAAAGGATGGTATGCCCACTCCAGGTAGGGGGAAAGGACTTGCCCCAGGTGGAGGAGTTTAAGTATCTCGGGGTCTTGTTCACGAGTGATGGGAAGAAGGATCGTGAGATCGACCGCAGGCTGGGACAAGCGGCAGCAGTAATGCGGTCGCTGTACCGGACTGTAGTGGTGAAGAGGGAGCTGAGCCGTAAGGCGAAGCTCTCTGTTTACCGATCGGTCTACATCCCGACCCTCACCTATGGTCATGAGCTGTGGGTAACGACCGAAAGAATGAGATCGCGAATACAAGCGGCAGAAATGAGCTTTCTTCGCAGGGTGGCGGGCTACACTCTATTTGATAGGGTGAGGAGCTCGGCCATCCGGGAGGAGCTCGGAGTAGAGCCGCTACTCCTCCGCATTGAGAGGAGCCAGCTGAGGTGGTTCAGGGCATCTGATCCGGATGCCCCCGGGACGCCTCCCGGTGGGGGTGTACCAGGCACGGCCTACCGGAATAAGACCCCGGGGTCGTCCTAGGACCCGCTGGAGGGATTATATCTCCAAGTTGGCCTGGGAGTGGCTTGGGGTCCCCGGGAATGAGCTGGAGGAAGTTGCGGGGGACAGGGTCACCTGGGATTCTCTGCTCTCCCAACTGCTACCGCGACCCTATCTGGACTAAGCGGTTAACGATGATGATGATGATGATGATGATGATGAACCTGTAACAAGTAAGTACCTGAAGCTGATGTTTTCCATTTTCAAATGCTCTTCAACAGACCAGATGACATGTTTATCAAAACAACAGTAGAGAGGGTTAAGTTACTGTCTGCTGTTGGAGACTGTTATAGTTATGTAACATGCTTTTTTCCTATATTAAATAACCATTCTCTTTTCTTTTGCTTCGGGGCAATAAAATGAGGGAAAGTGATACGGCATGTTGAACACTGGACTGAATTTGTTCATGCACAGCATAGTTTTGGTCAGTTTCCCTTTTAGTTCTTCCATCTTTTGCTTTCTGTGCTCCTTTTTTTCTCTCTGGTTCTGTCTGAGACAAGACAGGAAATCCTGCATTATATTCACTTGAAACGTTTGGAACATCTCCCCATGCCTTATCCATTCAACACCTTCTCTGCTGCATATCTAACCTCTGCTCTAATTACATGTGAGCATTGATAGACCAAACAAAAGGAGACACAACATTTCAGCTTTAGCACCAGGGCTCAGCACACAAAGGAGCTGAGGTTTTAACGTCTCTGAGGTGGTTATAGAGCACATGAAAATCACAAAGCATATTTGCCACAGGATTAATTTCCTTTTGCTCCCAGCCTCTTTCTTTTTCCTTAGGGTACACAGACTACCATTTACTTTGTTGAACAGTCATTAGTTTAGCTTTCACGCTGTGGCATTTTCAGCACCTACGCATGAACATTGCAACAGACAAGATTTACTGGTAAAGCATGCAGAATGTTCCCACATAAGCATGTGTCCTAGAGTAGCAATACCACAAAAAAACGGTCTGTCTGAATTATCATGCATTCCATAATAATTCACACACTTATGCATAATTTTCAATATTTTTTCATTTAACGGCAGCAAATTAGCATGATTAACTTCTTTAGCGTATGGAGGAATTTGTGCCAAATTGAAATGCAATCACTACAGTGGAAAAACATGAATGCAATACACATGATATTACTCTTCCTAAGTGTCACGCAGAATAAGTGCCAAAATGAAAAACAAAATCTGTATTACATTGTTTTTACATTGCTTCATGTCTTTTCTAAAAAACAATGCACAAGGATCTGCATTTAAAAAAAAACTAAATGCTGAATTCATGTCAGAATTGAATACAATTTGCCACAAAATCTAATAAAGGCATGGCTATATTGCTTTCTACTATGCAATACTTTAAACAATGTTAAATCAATGTAATGAATCTTTTTCTTTTCTGCATGTTACTGTTTAAATGCAATCTTTTGTACATTGCATTTCACTGTTTTGGTTGCATTTTAATAAGGCAAATACAAGTACAAAAAAGTGAGCAAGAGACGTGAAAACAGTGTAGTAGAGGTTTGCTTTTCGTTTCATTCCGCATGTCATTGTGGGAAAGTAATGTCGTGTGCATTGAATTTCACTGTTTTCACTATTATGATTGCATTTCAATGAGAAAAATCTGTTTAAATGACAGCACGGTGGAAAGCAATACAGCTGTGCCTTCATTACATTTTAAAGTGGATTTAAAATTCTCGTATGAATTCAGCATATTTACTATCTGGAAAAGCAAATCCACATGTATTGCTTTCCAATAAAGAGGTCAAGCGATGTGATAACAGTGTAATAGAGGTTTTGCTTTCCATTTCGGCACTTATTTTGCATGACAACGTGGCAAAAGTAATGTCATGTGTGCACTGCATTTCACGTTTTTCCACTGTAGTGACTGCTTTTCAATTTGGCACCAATTCCTCTCCATATTAGTGAGCCTTGAAGTGCTTAAACTACGAACACAAAGAATTTAGTGTGGAACGATTATCATGAACCATTGCTTTAGTCAACAAAGTCAAAACACACAGATGCACAGATAGCATAACGCATGTGGTTGGTATAGTGTAGTGGGTAACACCTCTGCCTTCTACACTGTAGACTGGGGTTCAAACCCCACCTTGGTAAACACTCTACACTATACCAATAAGAGTCCTTGGGCAAGACTCCTAACACTACCTTCGCCTACCTGTGTAAAAGATCACACTGTAAGTCGCTCTGGATAAGAGCGTCTGCCAAATGCCATAAATGTAAATGCATGTTTACATACATACATACGTCTCTTCCCACGCTTACCACATAACGTTTAGCAAAAGATTTTGTTTGGGCTTGCCTGACATAAAAAAAAAAAAACGTTCCCAAGGTCCTAAAGTGTCATCCTCAATCCGAGAATGTTATTACATCTGACTCATATCCTGTTGATTCGACCTCCTCCTCATCTGTCACTATCTAACTTCAACAAGAGCAACTTGTCCTTTCAGTGTGAATACATGTTTGTTAATGAGGGTTAACCTTGAATTAGAATGCTTGAACTGACCACTAGTTCAGTGAACACATGAACATTAACTGTAAACAGCAGCCTCATAGTTTCGTCAGTGGAAAAATAACCTAGAGTTTTTAGCTCATTGTTTAATTATCACAAACTCAGCATATGTTTATAGTTAGTCTTACCCGGAGCAGCTCTGCCTGCTGGGAACCAAAAGTCTGACCCAATACGACAAATCTTAATAATATGTTGGTGTGCAATTTCCCTGACCCTCAATTCTGAAAGCTCCTGGAAAATATATTTGTCTTCTTTAATGCCCACAGTAAAAGATAAGTGAAGCAACATGTAAGCCTTCAACACTCACTGTCCCTCCATTCTGAAAGCACTTGAAAAGAGATTTGTCTCTATTATCCACAGCAAACAAGTGAAGGAAAAATATCTTATGTTAATCTTCATAACGAGCCTTCAACTCTTACTAGCAAATCACAAACATTCAGCAATAAATATCAAATGCAGAGACTAAATTACTCTAGAACAGTGTTTCTCAACACACAGTCCCTGTATCCAACCAAAAGATTTACATTTGTGCTCTATCCCTCCTTCCTACACACCATTAAAACACTACAAACATACTGAGAACTAGGTTAGGGCAAAAATGTGGAATGTCTGGTGGACTAATTTGAGAGCTACTGCTCTATACCTTGAATTTGTGGTGGCAGCACTAATGTGAACACTAGTAAATGCTAGTAAACCATTTAAAAGGCCTTGCAGAAAGTAATATTTGTATGTCACTGCTATTAAAGACTAGGCCTGTCACAATCATGAAATTTTGGCTTATGATTAATCTTAATATCATATAAATAATGGTGATCAACAATTTGTGTTCGTTTTATTTCACTGTATTAAAGTATGCCATGAAAGCACAAACATTCAGTAGTTTAACTGGCTGATTAGTTATCTTGCTTCCTAGCCATCAATACTTAGTAGCTTGTGACGGACGACAGACACAGTTCAAGCTCAAATAAACAAACATTACTCACTGCTGCCCTCTAAAAGTGTTATAGCACTAAGACATATGCCAGAACCTCTGTTGTTTTGATAAGATCCATGATATGTCTTAATAATTGTGTTTTCTGCTTTTTTTTATTTACATGTATTTGCATCAATCCAACAATCTATAATCTCTCAGTTGCACTGTAATCATATTGTGAAAGCTATCAACTGTGGAAAATAACTGTAGTGAGCTTAACAACCACCAGCTCGAATAATCATGACAGGTCTGTTAAAGACTGACTAAATGTATCTATAGTTAAAATGATTTCTTTCATTACATTTTGAGCAATGTTTGGCTCTCTGTGAAGTAATATACCAACCTTGCAATGCAATGCCAACGTTATTTTTTCATGGGGCCTGTAGAGTTCAGAAATGACAGACAGACCTTTGTGTTGATGCAATCACTATGTTTAAAGAGAAAATGACTTCCTGAACCTTATCTACTGTTCAGATAACATCACAAGGCCTTTCACTAACCACCCACAGCACCCTTAGTCATGAGGGCAACTTATAAGAGTAATCATTAACAAGCTAAATACAAAAGAAAAGTTTCAATTTGCAGTATTGTAAATTTCAGTTGTCTGGGTTTCTGCATACCTCCCGAATACGAAGCTGAAAACTCTTTCCTTCGTGATAACAGTTGTAGGTCTTCAACAGAGACAAAACATCTGATCTAAAGAAGAGGGCAGGAAAAAGGGGTCAGTTTTGGAGAGCACATTTTTAATGTTTTAAATGAAGAACAGAAGTTGAGCTGCACTCACTTTACTATGATTTTCTCATCATTCAGTCTTACAAAGGGTGCTTGAGGAGGATCCATGGTGGGAACTTTCTAGCAGCTTCTCAGCTGCAGAGAGAGAGAGAGAAAGAGAGAGAGACAGCAAAGTTTCATGCTCATTAGAAAAAAACAACGCAATCGTGTCGGGTTCAGGGTTACTCATTCAGGGGCACTGTACCTCACAGAACTAAATCTAGTGAAAAGAAGTTCTGCAGATTAGGAGAAGTCATGTGGAAGTTTACTCAAGGAGTTAACCGCACACATGTCTTGGCATGTCGACTGGACCTAAGAAAAGATGATTATCATCTTACGACACTTATAAAATATTGTCAGCCTCTCAAAGCATTTTATTACTTCTAAACCCACAATAATTTTCACATAAACACCAAATCTTGCAAAGACAAAATCATCATTTTATTCAAATATATTTATTTATTGTTGCCTAAGGCTATTTCCACAATCTATTTACATTCCTTTGCTCATGTCCAAAACACTTTCACTTTCCACTTTTCAAGGTTGTCTGCAGAAGGAATCTTGTGGAAAGTCCATTTCAGAAAAACCTGACAGAGCAGTGACACTGGGCGGGAATTTCCAGGGAGTGGTGAGAGAGACGGTAAGCCCCAGCTGCAGCGTTTATAAGCCATCAATGAAAGTAGGACACAAACTTTCACAATGAAGTCCACACTACATACCCTCACTGCTCTACTGGCTGTGGGCCTCTATATTCTTCTTACCGGTGAGTAATACAGAATCGGTTATGATGGAGTAGTTATTTCAGCAGAACTTTTGGACCTTAACTTCTAAACAGTGTTTTTTTTTACTCTTGCAACTTCAAAACAACCCAACTTCTAAAAAATATTTCAAAATGTATCTTGGATATAACATAACCATAGACTACACAAAAAGATACATGCTATTTTTATAGTTGCTGAGTGAAAAAAATTAGTTAAGAGCCAAATGTCATTTGTCTGTTTTGCTTATTCCTTAATGCAGCTCAGGTGGGAGACAGTCAACATGTTCCGACACGCTGCATTTGTCATAAATCCATGTCAGCAGTCAGAGGACCATTTTCAGATTATAAAGTCTTATTACAAGGACCTGGTTGTGACAAAGATGTGATCATGTAAGTAGCACTCCATTTACCTCATTGATGGCATACATCCATAATCTTTAACTCAATTTCTAAATCTAAATCTGTGGCTGTTAATCTGCTTTTTAGAGTTAGGCTGAAGGGGAACAACCAGGAAGTGTGTCTAAGTCCTAATGGACCTCAAGGAAAAAGACTGCTGAAATGCTGGCGCAAGTAAGAAAACAACAATTATAAATAACCATATTAAACATCACTGTTTAACACAACATTGTGTTAGGAATGATTGTAGTATTTCATAATACTTTTGCACTGTGCATGTTACTGTTTCTGTAAATGATTTACTGATTTCATTTCTTTTGCAGGATGCAAAAAAAAGGGGAAGATGCAAAGAAATGCATCAAAAGACTGAGACCTCAGAAAAGACGACGACAGAAGAAGCGCAGTTGATCCAAGAAGCTCATATCATGTGAAGCCCGGCGAAATGGCTGCTAATAGAAAGACACTAATGCAAGTGTCCACACACTAGTTTGAAAGACCACAACTGCTTTCCCATATATGGTCTGGACTATGGACTAACCATGGTCTGTATAAGCTTCCAGAGAGGGCTGGCCCCACTCAAAGGCATGAAGACGATGATGAAGATAGAACACTGCAAAGTAATCGCTTTACATTACAATGTAATGTTTTGGCCAGTTTTAGTACAATTTAATAAGAAAGCAGAATCAATTTACACACTGTTACTGATACTATATGTTTGTTAAACTGTTTATGTTTATGATAATGTGTATTTTAGTATGTCATCTTTTTATACAATAAAATGTACATGTGTATATAATAAATGAAAACATAAAAAAACACCTCTGTCATTCTTCTTGTTTAAATAAACACTGCTTGCACATGCCAACACACAATCCTCTACGATAATGCTAATTTCTGCCCTATGGGATATACTATGTTAGCATTAGCTGATACTGACTCGAACATTTTTTGGCCATTCTATTTGAAACAAAGACTTTTAACGCTTTTAAATAACATTCTATGTTTTATTTGAAGCTTGTGTCAAACATATTGTGGTGTCGAGCACATCTGTGCTTTGTTAGTTTAAAATATCAGAGTAAGTTTATTATTATTATTATAATGTTCAAGCATGCTAAGCTAAGGTTATTTAGTCCATTAGAAAGGCTCTTCTTAAGGTTCTTCTGCATGGTCTCTTATTTTGGGCAATGCTGTGTGTATGCTAGCAAAGCTCACAAGGCAGAGCTGTGAACAAAAGAGTAGCCAGGCAAGCTACTGAGTGTGAGACTGGCCTGCGAACAGTATGGCCTGGTCTGTGTGCGGTCATTCCCCTGTTGTTTTGCAGGTCATTGCAGAGTTTTGATGAAAGCCGAGTTATGGGCCAGAACCTTAAGAGTTTCTTCTGAGAACCCCTTATGCTGCAATATCAACACATATTTCATCTTGTATGTAGTAGGTTTATACTAACACCCTCAGTAAATAGCCCTAACAGAGATGGCACTGCTTTTTTCCATTTCTAACATCTGGCTGAAATGCATTGGTTAGGCTACCACTCATATTCGCAGTACATGATATATCTAGGGCTTCCAGAAGGAAATCAAAATTAGAAATCAAAACGTGACTGGTCGATTAATATGTCAGCTCCTAATAATGTTAGTGGTTAATCTAATGCTTTAGGCCTTCTCTCCAGTTCCTGAAGTCCTAAATACTGAGAAAGCTGGGCTACCCCAAAACCACAGAAAGACAAAAATCCTGATTGGATAATTTTCCTTTGGGTGTTTCAAGAATTTAACCTTTATTTCCAACCAAAGCTTAATAATAAAATAAGAGTATTACTAGAATACTTTTAACACTTTGTGTTAAAAAATAGTGATTATATTAAATAAAAATCAACTAAAAATGATAGACGTGTAATTTTTCATTTCACAGAAGTCATTAGGCCTAGAAGGTCCTGAGAGCTCACCAATGTATATTATTGGTCATATATGATATATATTGTTCATATAAAATCCATTTACTTACAGAATTGCTTCAGCCTTTCTTGGAATGCTGCCATACTAGTCCACAATTGTGTGCAGAGTGATAGATACTGGACCAAGAACAAAAGCCTCTAAGCTTTTGAGAAAACAAGGAAGATAAACTTTAGTTCACAATGTCTACTCCAGACCTTCTCATACAGCTGGTGATTGGAGAGATGATGCAAGGTATTTGATGTCACCTTGGTGTTCATCATGTGGTCATTATCATCTCTTTAGATCAACAGTCATTGGATCAACAGGGTGCACAGGGTGCAGGGTATTCCAAAATAGCCCCATAACCTTTCGCCATTACATGACCATGCAGAGTAATAATCTGACTAAATGAATGACGTCTGCCCAAACCATTACAGATCCATCACCGTGTAACAATTGGTAACAGACTTTGAGCTGTGAAGGCTACCTTTGGCTTTCTCCAAATTTAAACATGTCAAAATAAATAGTTTTGTAGTGTCCTGTTTGGACTATGCCAAAGCAGTTTGCAACATTTATGAAAATTATATCTCATGGCTCATAATAAATTTGCATCTTCTGTTACCAATGCATTTGCAATTTAGGCACTCAGTTGTCTCCTGTTAAAGCTGGGACCACATTTCGATTTATTAATAATTATAGACAAAAGCTTGTCATGAATTCAACAAGTAAAATGTTGCTTTTTTTGCATGCATATGCAAACTGAACACTTTAAATGTGTCCTTTTCTGAACAAAAACAAGTCATGCCTAGTCATGAATAAGACAATGTGTTATGAATGTCTTATATCTTGGGATCATTATGAAAGCACAGTGTTTGGTCCAACAGGGTGCACCTGGTCCTCTAAAATAGCTCCATATCCTCTAGTCATTAAACCATCACGCAGAGCAGTCATCTGACATAATGCATGACGTCTGCCCGTACCATTAGGGGTCCACCACCATGTAACAGTTGGCAACAAATATCATGGTGTGACAGCATCATTTAGCTTTCTCCAAAAGAACATACATCAGAATAAATTAACACAAAGAAACAAACAAAGTATGTAAGATGATTTTTGTTACCAGTGATCCTCGACTTTTAGGTCAGTTGTTTCACGTTTAAAGCAGGGGCCACTTGTTGATGTACGAATAATTACAGAATCTTTTCTGATCAAAAAACAAAGATGCTGAGTCATAAACATTACAGTGAGTGATGCACTTTTTGTTTTTTTGGTTCTTATGTAAGTACACTAAGTAAGAAAGTTTTGTCAATCAAATTCATAATATATATACACACAAAAATTACAGCTTTTTGGTTTCTCTTTGAGTCAGCTTAGGTTATTGAGCAAAGTTTTGGATAAATTATATTTTTTTCATTTTAGTTCACTGCAAAAAAAAAAATCTAGCCATGTAAAACCTTAAATCTAGTCAATATATCTAATATTATTTTTCATTAGGAGGCTGCTATAAGATGATTTTAAGACTTTTTACTTGTTATGTGTTTTTAAGTCCTTTTATCAAGTGAAATGATCTTAATACATTAGCAGATGATTTTGTCTGTTTTAAGCATTTTTCTTCAAATAGGCAAAATTATCTGCAAATATACAGTCGTCTGCAAAGTTTTGGGCTCCCCTGGTCAAATTCCATGTTTTCTAACTGGACAAAAATACATATTCTCTACAAAGATTAATGATTTTAATTTTAATGCACAATTACTATTTAATTGTTGAATTTAACGTACTGGGGGGAAAAGAAGTGGCCTGTGAAAAAGTTACAACACATTTTATATGTAATTTTTTCCAATGTGTTAAACTCAGCAAATACATAGAATTTGTACACTAAAATATGTTTAGGTACGTTTTCTAGATGTGTCAACTAACTTTCACTCAAAAAAACAAAACAAAACTCATAATCTGATTGGGGTATTAAGATTTTTGCATACGAGTGCAGTTAGATAATTTCACTTGATAAAATTTATCAAAATGAGCAAAAAATGTGTGTAAATAAGTTAAATAATCTTATAATACTCTTACAACAGTCTCTAAAATATAGAAATATTAGACACATCAACTAGATTTCAGAAGATTTCATTTGCCAAGGTCTCTTTTTTTTTGCAGTGTTGAATGCTTTGTCATCGTGACTGTCACCCCCTCTGGTGCAAATGCACACTATCCTAGACATAGTGAAATTGAATTGTAAAACACCTGTAGTTTTTAAATAATAATAATAATAATAATAATAATAGTAAATCCACATTTAAATATGATAACTCATGTTGCTTTGCAAACTCATATCAAACTCAACTCTTTTGTAAAGCTAACACAGTGCTAATCTGCTATGACTAATATGCATGGATGGCTTTGTAATTGTGGTTTACTTAGTTTCACGTTAAGCTGCTTTCTTTATCTGGAGTTATTGTGTCTATCTCATGAATATGCATAGTGTCACTCACAGTTTCACACAAAAGTCTATGATGACCCTGTTATGTGTTAATTTGTTGTCTTTTATCCAAAAGAGCAGTGTTTGTTAATCGGGATCCAACTGCACTGCACAGTTTGCCAACCATATCTGATCCAGCTCATAAAGAGCTTGATAAACACCTGACAAACTGGATCAGGAGTGTTAGGACAGGAGAGTTGAAAACGTGTGGTTGGTAAAGCATACATGCTACCTCAAGATGAATGACAAGTAAATAATCCTGAGAGCACGTAGGATCCTTATTACAGCCTGAACGTTTACTAGAAATCATGTGACACTTGTCTGGCTAAATATGGGCAGGCAGGAAAAAGAGGGGGATACGAGGACAAGACACACACACACACAAACACACACACACACACACACACACACACACACACACACACACCTCAGCAGGCACATTGAGGCTGATATTCTCTTACTGCAACTCACAGCTGACATGGCTTTCGGGACAGTGCAAGCTACTCTAAGCCTTCTGTCACTCTTCCTTTTCTTAAACATCCTCACAGGTACAGTTCTGCTAGCACTGATGCATTTGTTCTCTCAGTGCACATCTATAAACCTTTCGAATAGTTTGCAAATGTTGGTTATTTCTTTCTCTTTTTTCTTTGTTTCCAGATAATGTGGCTGCTGCGATGTCCATTCGAGAAAAATGTGAGTGTGTCATAGAGACTGGTTCTGTGCCTTGGAGACGTATCACTGACTTTGAAATGAAAATGCCAGACGCTCTTTGCAATAAAGTTCAAATTATGTAAGTATCTGCTACTCTTGATAAGCTGTTATATAAGAAGTTAGATAGCTGAAACAACACATGCATTTAAAAAAAAAATCATGATGCAGACTAAAAGTAGCTGCAGACAAAAAGTAGGAAGAATGTTGTGATAACAGCAACACTCTCTCACAGCCTACACGTGTGCAAAGAAATGGATTTGCTTCTAGATGCACTGATGCACTTATCAGCTCTGACTGAAGCAGTGGTATATTAAGGGCCTTTTTCTGCACATTATTCTGTTTTGCTGATTCTAGCACATTTGATGAATCTTATGAAGGGCATGATGATTAGCTGATGAGCTCAGATTAAAGAAAATACAAAAATGAGCAGAGCAAGGACTCTCTGAGAACTGAAACTGGAAAATACTGAACTGACTGTCCAGCGATTTGTGAAGACTTTTACTCACAAATTACTATGAATGATAAAAATGCCTTTCACATATCGTCGCTGTTATACTCCGTAAATTTAAATTAGTCAACTTTATGTAAAATAAAATATGTTACTTAACAAGTTCAAGCTTAAATAACTTTTTCTTAGAGTTATATTTACTTTTAAAGTACTTTCCTCAGTCACAATTTCTTTATTTGGCAGTAAGTAAATCTCTTCTATCTCTTACCGCAGTTAACTTTCACTACAGCCTAACAGTCTTGCAAGAACAGTCTTACAAACTTTAGACTTTACACTTAATCAGTACCAGCTGAACTAATCCAGAGCACAGAAACTCTGTTTTTTCTTTGCAAACTGTCCTGTAAACCTCAAGCTGCTTCTTAGAGATACATGTTTACTTCTGCTTGAGTTGTTGGGTTTGAGCATAACTTTGAGATAATCAACCCACAACTCCTACAAATGCTGAGAAAATTGCACAACATTTCATGCTGTTGCCACATCTAATTCCTCAACACAGGCGGTCACATATTTTTGGCATGTTTGAGTGAAATCCATTCACTGAAGACCTGCCAAGACAAGAGTGGGCAAGACACACTATACCAGATCCTTCAACTGAAATCTAGTCACTCTAACTCAACTCCTGAAGAAAACAACTACCCCACAAGCACTATAAGATACATGATATTTGTCAGTACCTTAAAAAACACAATTTATAAGATGAAAAAAGCAACCAGTTTGAAACAGAACATTTAAAAGGGACCTATTATGCTTTTCTGGGTTTTCCCCTTTTCTTTAGTGTTTTAATTTAGCTTTTTTATGTATGTAAATGCTCAAACTACATGCCAGAGGGGGTAACTGTCACTCACAGAAACCACTTTTCTCAGCTGCCTGAAACGCCTCGTTGGAATTCCAGCCCCTTTTCCTTTGTTACAAGATGACGCAATCTCTTAGCACAATCCTTATTGCCCGCCTCCCGGCAAACTTGGCACACTTTCACACATTGCACAGCAACTACTGGAGGCCAGGAGGAGTTTGTTCAGTTCTGTAGCCATGTCGAGAAGACACTGACCTGACTTGGATTGGGCTCACTGAAAAAAAGCCACACTGGTGCTGACAGCTGCTTAGGAGCGAAGGGTCTGTCTGCAGATTGCAAGACAGGGGCAGAACTGTACGACCAATCAGAGCACATTGGGCTTATCTAGGAGACGCAACTTAAAGACACAGGAGCTCTAACAGAGCGTTTCAGACAGAGGATGAATAGAGATGTACAGTATGAGAAAAATAATATATTTTTGGAAACTTGAAGCATGTAAATCTATTCTAGTAGCCCACAAAAATAAAATTCTGAACACTGAAAATTTGCATAATAAGTCCCCTTTAACATTTCTGTTCTTGCATTCAAACCCCAACATAACGATCCTAAACTGGCTCGAACAAAATGAAAAATGTGCAATTTCAAGGTGAAAATAAGTTGACATGTCCTCTACAAGGAGCAAACTTAAATATAGCATTTTGATCCAGCAAATAAACAGTAATTGTGCATTAAAAAGTGCAGATGTGTGTTCTCTCAGAGGATGTGTTTATTTTACTTATTTTCCCTTCAACAAAACATGTAACTTTTTCATGCGATTGTAGGCTGTGTGTAGGCCTAATAGAGTAAAAATAGGTCTGGAAAGCTGTTAGATCCAACAGTGTTTGTATGGATAAGGATCACACAACTCATAAAAGTTAACAAATGTTAATGTCTGTAAATCAGTAAACGGGTTCAACAGAAATAGCCCATAATAATTCACTGGAGGTTGTTATGATCAATTCCAAATGCAATGTTATAATTTTGCAATAGCGTAAACAGCAAATTTCCTGTGTACAAATGCGCAGTTGGCTAAATGTTTTTTGCATTATGACATATGACAAAAATCATGTAACAGAAATACACAGAGGACATTTATAGCTGTTGTTGCCTTACAGACTGTGATTACCAAATTAATCTATTGTACTGTGCAAAAGTTAGAGGCCACCTTTCATTTACTTAACAGTCAAAATTGCCTTTAAGTACAAGTTATTTATTTTTCAGGAGATATTTCTGAGGAGATTAGCTATAAGATAATCCACTGGCATAAGAAAGGGAAAGGGCAAAGGAAAATTAGGTGAAAAAAATTCAAAAATTATTAAAAGATGTAAAGAAAATGGGATACCTAACAACTGTAAAAGACCCAACAGACTCCCAAAACTGTTACCATCAAGATAAACAGTACTCAAAGCTTTCGTCTTTGAGTCAGAGGAGAAAAATCAAGCTTAATTTTTGCTTCAGATCTGAAAAAATCCACAGGTGTTTCTGTCCGTCCTTCCACTGTGAGAAGAAAACTCAATCATTACTGATAAAAGACAGACAAAAAAATCGCAAATCCAACAAAAAAAGCTGCTGGTGCTCTCAGAACAAAGGACTGACCACTCCAGAGCCCAGATGTCTACATAAACGAATGTGTTTGGTATTACTTGAGCATGAGAAACAGAAAATGCAAGCATTATATTTAGATATAATATAAAATAAAAAATATAATTTCAGTGTTTGATTTTTAAGTATAATTTTGTGTTACATATATGTTTTGTTTTTTTTTTACTGATGATGAAAAATGTATAACATGTACTTATTGGCCATTTTGACAAATTAAATGAATGAAGCATGGTCTCTGACTTTTGCCCAGCACTGTTTAGCCAAAGCCAAAAAAACCCGTATAAATGACACATAAATCCAGTAAAATGATGTCCTGAATCAAACTATGTGAGGCGTGATGCTGATCCAAAAACATTTGAGAGTTTGGAAGTAAGAATAAAAAATAATAATAGTCAGATACAGGGAACGAAAACACAATGTCATTAAATGTTAACAGAGATTTCAAATTAACACTTCTGTTCTGGTACAGTTGAATGACTGTGGATAAAAATGTTTCTGGTTGTATTTTTGCTCCTAGCAAAATGCAGTTTGTTTCCAGTTTTTGTTCTTATAACCAGCCCAGATCCATGATTGTCACCTACATTTATACTATGATTACCAGGGGTAGAAGTCACAAGGAGGCCCCTAATATGATAATGTCATGATACTTGAGCAACAATGCAATTTTATCGTGAATTTTAAGGATTCAATATATGCTGTGTATTGTATTATAAAGCAGTGCAATATACTGGAATTTATTACATCTGGTTGTGAATTACTCATCCAAGAGAAAACTTGCGATTTTATTTAATGAAGTTTACACTTTGTTCATCTCACTTCAGTCTTTTCTGGAACTGAAGGAAAATTATGAAGTAGATGAAGCAACATTCAAACAAGAGTTAACATTTTAGTTTTAATATTTGGTAGATTCTTTTATTTGAGAAGTACACAAAACAACACTTACATTATTAGCAATCAAATTCCTGCCTGGACTGGAAATCGACCCCAGACACCTCATGTGCAAAGTGATTATCCACTGTACTATCCAACTGTTCCTATTAATGCATTTATGGGCAGAGGCACTGCTGGGGTCTCTGGGGTATCAATATTATTACACAAAATATCATGATGCTGTGAAGTATCAACTTTTTCCCCATTCCTTATGATTATTACTAGTACTTTTCTAAAACTTACTGTCTGAATTAAAACCAGTGCCAAGTGTCAAAGCACAGTGCAGTCATGCTGCTTCCTATTTCCTATTTCCTTGAGAGAATTCAATCTCCACTGAAGCTGGCAATAGAAATGTTTATGGCAACAAACAAATGTCTGCCTGACACACTACCACAACACACACATTGTATAACAGGCATTTGGTTTGATAATGACAGGTGGTAGCTCTAATAGTGGCCTTGTTTTAGATATTTCCTTAGTGAGACAGCAAGACGCTTGATGAAGGTTTGATCTTCTGTATGCTGACACAGAGTTGGCTCTACCTGATAATGCTTTAATCTGATCCCCAGCATCAAACAGGGAGATCAACTGTTCTGCCTGAACCCAGATTCCGAACAAGGCAACAGACTAAGGAACTGCTGGACACGGTAAGTGGTCCACATCTGCCTTCCTAGGAATTGCATTACGTTTGTATAAATTGGATCAAGACATTTTCTGACTCCTCCTAGTCCTTCCTGATACATTATAGCATGTCAGTGTCACTGCTGTGCTGAGAACAGTCAAATAAAACCACTCAAATAAAATCTGGTCAAAGGTGGTCCTATGGTGGTCTCTTTCCACTATTGGATGAGGTAGAGGGTGGCTGATAGGTTGTGCAGCAACAATGGGCTGTTATCAGTAATTGTAAACCTACAAAATACACCCTCATAGTAGGCGTTTCTGATGAAATGAGCAATAATCGTACCTAATAAACTGGCAATTCAGTGCTTAAATGTGTAGCATCTTATTGATCCATTCTATAAAAAAGTGCTTTGTGAAAAACTAATCATGCCAGGGTAAACGTAAAATGTGTATGATACAATGGGATTTACTACATTTATGACCTGTCTAATAGGGCTTTTATGACAATCACTGGACAGAACTTGATGGACAATGCCACCTAGGGGTGGAAGGGAAGACTGCACTCACTCTTTTCTCTTTAAGCATGAATTGCCTGCTGAAGCTAAGAATTTACCTGGTTAAACAGTAAATGCTACATGATGAACACAAAGTAAGGCATGACTGTCATGTGCATAAGAGCAAAAAATATAAAGAATGTCACTGTGTTGTAATATGTGAGTTTTGTGTTGTAGTGGTGGATACTACATCTGAGATTCTGTGTGATCATACAAAAATGCCTATATTAGATTAAGATCATGTGTAGTCAAGTCACGAGTGCCATTAATAGCACATATTGATTTATGTCAGTAACCTGCAAAACCAGCACACTAAGGCTCAACTCTTCTTTTACTGATTTCTGCAGGATTAAGTTCAATGAAAGAAAGAAGAAAGTCTGCATACAACCTAAAGCCAAAAAGAGAGGAAGAGGAAGAGGAAAGCCGAAGAAGCAGTAACTGCATACAACCTAAAGCTAAAAAGAGAGGAAGAGGAAGAGGAAGGCCGAAGAAGCAGTAACTGCTGGCAGGGAATATATATCCTACAAAAGAACTAACCTATTAATATACAAATAATGCACACTATGTATGTAGCTCTTTGTCTGCTGCTAAGACATTTTGTACTACTGTTTTCTAATACTGCCTTATGTAACACTTTTATATTCATTTTATAATGTTTTTATACAATAAAATGACTAAACAATACATTTTAGAATTACTTAAAATGCAGAAAAAGTGCAAAGGAGGAAGAGATGGAGAAGAAGAAAAGAAGAAGAAAAAGAAGAGTAATGCATTAACTCATTACTGTTCATGTCGGAATTTCTATATGAATTTCTGAATTTGTATGAATTTATATGAATTTATATTAATTTCTGAATGTGCTTTGAGCTTGTCTGAGAGCACAAATCTGAAAAAAAAATCAAACTGATCAAACATGAGTATGTTTCACTTATTACATCATAAATTCTTAGTCTAATTTTTACAAAACCATTTTAAAAATAGATTGTGAATAAAAATATAAAAATTACATCACAAAAAATATAATTAAAATAAATAAAAATCGAGTAGATGCTGTTAGAGGTTCTTTGTCTTGTGACCCCTGTCTTTCTCATTTTTGTGTTTCTCTGCTCTAAAACACCCACTTCGATTCAGGAAGAGCTTAGTTGGATCAGGTGTGTTGTGAGAGGAGAAATCTCTACAATGTGCAGGGCAGAGTTGAGGACCACTGCTTTAGACCAATCAGAACTAGTGCTGAAGCATTGTCTTCATCTGTAGGACATGGATGGGTTGAATGTAAGTCAGCAGAAGTGTTGTCACTGGCATTGCTTTAAACAAGGACGATCTGTTTTAAGGGCTTCCTGAAACCAAAATGATATTTGTGAAAAGAATCTAATTATAATTAGAACTAAACGTGCTGTGACATGACCCCGCCTCTGTCTAAGACTATAAATTATTCAATGAGTCCACATGGGTTTCATCTCAAGGAAAGCACCTGAATGGCTGCCATATGAAACAGTAAATTATGAACAACCTAGTGTCTCTACCAGACAAAAGGGCACCAATCAAACCAATCTTGTTCAGGGATGCGCTCCAGTTTAAATCACAGTGTGACCCTGCGACTAATCACCCAGCTCCAGCAGCTGTGACTCTTCATTACGTTATGGTGCAGCTGCAGATGCAGAGCTCCTCACCCACAGCACATACAGCATTTAGCCTGTGAGGACCATGACTAACATGAAGGGAAACTGCCTATTTTGCAGAAGTTACAAGTCCGGGGAAAGAACAGTGGCTGTGGAGAGTAGTGTTTACAACAGAAAAAAATCCACCATGATAAATATATATCATGAAAATAGCCCATGGATTGAGTCCAGTGAGAGTCGAATGTTGTCCTTTAGTCTAACACAGTATGACAGAATAAACCAATGTTTAAACCATCAATAAACCAACCAATCAATAAACCGACAAACCTAGCTGTTTCAAAACTACAAGAAGGAATGCCACTTGAAAAGCTTTCTTATAGTAGACTATGCAAGGTCCTGCCTAGAATTCACCTGCAGGTCCATCAGACAGTAGATATTACCTCAGCCGTCCGACCTCTCTCACACTTCAGCCCTGTTTTCACTGTAACATTTCTATAACTTCTGTTAGCTTATGCTTTTGAAGAGAAACAGACAACCTTACCGATCGCCTCGTACATCGCCTCCTGTCCCAGCGCCAACAAAACAAGGACGTCCACTTGATCGGAAAGGTTTTTTCAGTCGATCCTATTCAAGTCTACTTGACCCTGTTGGCTCAGGGGAGAAGCGTTGTACACGCTATGATGAGTGATATCTTTGCCAGCCAATCACAGAGTCCGCTGACAGGGTGAGCCAATCAAAACGGCGCGTAGGCGGTTCCATTTGGTTGCCCCGAGAAACGTCTGGAGCGGCTTCGTGGTCTGGCTTATCAGTTTATCTAACGCTTTATCGAAGTGTAGCAGCTCATATTGCACACATGTGGGACTTTCATTAAAGAAAAATAAGCTCTGCGTAGACTGGGCTATATGTTTAGCTTATATGTCAAATGGAAATGCAATGTCAGTGAACAGCTCTGTTGTACTGCTTTGTACGCCAGGGATCTCGCTGTTCAGTTCAGACTCCGACTGAAATGGGTTTCCTGTTTTTTAGCTTAGTCTGAGAATCCCATCTAGGAAAATATGACACCAGAAGACCTGATAAAATGTTTGAGGAAGCTGATTCTTTGAGCTGCCAAGACACTTCCCCCACGGGAAGCCAGCTTTGTCTAAAAAGGATGTGATTATTACAACGAGAAGGCCAAATAAGGAACCTCATTCAGAAAATGACGGAATGCAAAAACAAGCCTAAGCATATGCCTACCATCAGTTTCAGATCAGACACGTCCCATTATCTCAATTAATCTTTTTTTTTTTGCTGATATATAGAGACCTATTGTGGAGATCATTACAGTTTCACCCTGTGCTTTCCTCTGATTATTCACTCCAGTTCTTTTGAACAGAGCCATTTGTGCTTTGCTACCAATGGCCTGTTTATGGGTGGATGGCATAGCTGTAGGTTTTCTGAATTAAATTGTAATAGCCAAGATGTTTACTCTGAAACAAACAAACAAACAAAAATAAAATACAGTAATGTCTTGAAGAGAAACTCCTCCAACGATCTTTAATCCTTTATTCTCAGCAGGTTTGAAGCATTGGAGCCTGTCTATCAAGGTTAGACATGGAGCCCTGAGGGGTCTGCAGCAGTCCGTTCTTGATGGAAAAAGCTCTTTTCAGGATCTAACCAGCAAGAAACCAGATGATGAATGGAGACTTAGGCTTGTATTGATTTATGGGGCCTTGAAGTAGTAGATGCGGTCTTGCGGCAAGACTCCCTAAATGCACTTAGGAATACAGCCACAGAGTGAACTCCCTTAAAGAACAGCAGTATTGCCTCAGAAATAGTTCAATCAATTGAACAACTGGAGAAAAATATGCATTGTTGCAACATTTAAAAGATTCATCCTTTTCATTGTTTGCTACTTGAAACATTTGGAAAATTACAGCTTAAGCAGAAAAGAACCAGTGCAGTCCAACAATACAGCAGTGTTTGCTCTTGTGTGGCTGCTCTTTCTTATTAAAACGTCTGATGAAGATCACCATGGTCACGTCTCAGAGGCATTATATAAGAGCACTGCCTATTTCAGGCTCTAGCTCACTCTAACAAAACAAACAGCTGACAGTATCAGTCAGTACTGATAAATATGAGGATAAGGTATATAGGCATGACCAAATGTTAGCTTCATGTAACAGTGTGGTAGCTAATTTAACTGCAAATGAGTCCAAACACAGAGTGCAAACCTCATAATCAAAGCATTTCAGAAGAGAATTGTTAAATAGGAATTTAGATTACAATCAATATGCTGTTGATATGACTTAATATAATTTTTATAAAATGTGTGAAATATGTTAAGAAAGACTGGTGATTATATATTCTGTTCCTATTTGAAATATACGTTGTACCTCAGTGCAGAGCACAAATAAACAGCATGCTGTACAGAACATCACGGTGCTGAGAAAGCTTTGGAAAATCAATATGTCCATTCAAAAAGACTGGTTCAGAAATCTGCAAACTCTGGGCATTAATAGTAACTTATCTACTGCTCTTTGGAAAAATGACCATGTTCCAGCATAAAGTAACTATGTCAGTTGCTTTGTAATTATGTGACCTCAGCTGGACATTGCAAACCATAAATAATTTGCAGTGCATTCTTCACTTTCCCACAGCCACCACTCACACTTTTATAATTGGTGCTTTATCTGAGGTGGTCTCCTCTGGTTCCATGTCATACTCCTCCATCTCTGTCTCTTCTTGTCTGAAACTCTCTATCAAGTGCACATTTCTTCCATCAGCTTTCCTCATTGGTCTGTGGTCTTGCTGTGAAGGATGGTCTGGCCCAAGCATGGCCTGAGAACTGTCTGAGAAGGCCCGAGAAGGACTTTGCAATCTGCTGTTGGTGGGTAGGAAGAAAACCTTCCTGCCTGAGACGATGTGGAAGAAGGAAAACGTTTGCTCCGTCTCTCCCAACTCATTGATGCAGACGGTCGACAGTGCTGGGTCTCCATAAGACTCGCCTGAATGTTTGACGGAGCTTGTCTTTTTCTTTTTGCTCAAAATAAAGTTCAACAATCCTGTCAGCAGCAGCATAGTTCCTAAAGATTGATAAAGATTGATTAAATAAATGTACCTAATATTCAACCATTTGTAACTCAAAGCAATGCAAAATATCATGGCAAGTGAAATCTAGTGATTAAGGCTAGTGAATATGAACCCATGAGAGTCAGGAATCCCTCACTCATGGTAAAATCACTGTAACACACCACCTCAAGTGGCTTATTGCTTTTGCAACAACATAAAACATGATAAAGTCCACCAATTTTCAGTAAATACTTTGTTATACTGAACAATTACAATAAACAATTCTTTCACCAAGAAATGTAGTGTTATGCTATTGTTGCCAAGCAATAATGGACCACTGAAGGAGGACAAGACCTTTCTATTGCTCATCAATGTAAATTGCAGTCATTTCATAAACTTACATTTTTTTGTCATATGTGTTGAAAAATGTTTGCAGAAGCAGAAATCTCCACCATATACACAGATTTTCTTTACCATATTACCACAGCAAGGATTATGCTAGTTTCCACTAGCCCCTGTATGCCATGTCCAGTATTGTGTTACCATTAAGCTAAATAAAGCAAATTATTTCATTTTGAAGCCTAACAGAAAATAATTAATGGAGAAACATTTTATCTATTAGCATGTTTAGCTTGCTATCTTGTAGCCTTACTGCTAAAAAAAACAAACTGCCAGCTCCTCATTTTTGTATGGAAAGGAAAGCATGCAAAATTGAAATGCAAGCACTACAGTGACAGAAAGAAATGCCATTTCTTTTCCATAGCAGCATGCAGAACACTTTCTTAAAAAACAAAATGCTGAATTCATGTCAGAAATGAATACAATCCACTTTGAGATGTAATCAAGGCACAGCTGTAAATACAACGGTGAAATGCAAGCCACATCTGAAATCGCATTTAAACGGTGATGCAGAAAATGTGCCAAAATGAAAAGTAAAAGATCCGTTGCAATGTTTTGTTTGAAGTACTGCACGATGGAAAACGATATAGTTATGCACTGATTACATTTTAAGGTGAGTTGTATTCAATTTTTCCTCTAATTCAGCACTTTGTTTTTGCAAATCCTCAATGTTTTTTCAGTAAAGAGGTCAAGCAGCATGAAAACGATACAACTGAGGGTTTGCTTTTCATTTTAGCACATATTCTGCATGTCTTTCTGAGAAAGTACTGTCATGTGTACATTGCATTTTATGTTTTTTTGTAGTGTATTGATAGCATATCAATTTGACATGAATTCCTCTCAATACATTTTAACAAAAGTTTTTTTCTTCATCTGTCAAAGCAGTCTTAGACGTGCGTTTATGAACATTTTACAATGGCTTCGAAAGCAACTTGGCCAATCAGATTTACGACTGTAGTTATCTGGTTTAAAAAAAATACAATTTTTAAATCATGCTGTTGTGTAAAAAACATAAGATTGTTTAGACAATTGTTTAGACGTGTCATTTAAAATTCCATAAGACAATATTGCTTGTTTCAACCATTTCTCATGACATGGAATATTATTTGCATTATTTCACAAAAAATGAGAAATGATCTGCCAATGGAATATGATAATTTTACTAAATAAAATTACTTCAAATAAGAAAAAATGTCTAGAAGTGGGGTAAACACTTAAAGCATTATGATAATATTGACTCGATTTAAGATAATTTCACTTGCCAAGATATACTTCTTTTTTGCAGTGATGATCCCAAATAAACACAGTGTAGTAGTACTAGTCAGAACTATGCTCCACCTGGTATGACAGCATGCCAGACTAACACTGGATGTAGGAAACACACCACTGACATCATTGTGTAGTAGAGGAACTTCTGGAAGCCTCCAACATTAGCCATCTTCTTCCAAACAGTGAAGAACTTAAAAGTAGGGGGACAACTGTGATAAAGAAAAGAAGACTTTTCAGAGTAAAGATATAACTTGTATGGACTTGTCAATTGTGTGGGCTTAAAACTGGCCATGTCTTACAGAACTTACGGAAAGCATGTTGCCAAAAGAGCGTCAGTGAAATATGCCACTTCAAAGATCATCATTCCAGCAGAGGAGACCCTTTGCAGATTGAAAGTAAGAATCAAATACAAATCAAATTCATTTCAAAAACCAAATAAAAAATATGTGATGTTTGACAAAAGAACAAAAAACTGACATTGATGACAAAATGTACAAGTAAACAAATTCTTGTAGCTGAAGCCTTAGCGTAAACTCCAATCTAAAGTCTTCAGTGTTGTATTTCCCATGTTCTTGCATGTCCTAACAGCTCTTTTTCTTTCTCATGGACATTTTTCCTGTCCATTCATGCAGATCCACTTAGAATTGGCAGCAAGCCCAGACTGATAAAATAATCAGGAACAGAATATCTTCTCTTCGATCTCAGTAAACATTTCAAAATGGGCTCCTGTGCTGACCATGAACTGAATATGGAATGAAAGGTAGCTATAGTAGCAAGGAAAATAAAATATATTAATTGACCTTGTTTTCTAGCAAGAACGTGTTGAAATAGACAACAGACGTCAAATCTAAAATGTTCTGAGGGTATCATAAAATTTACAAAGTGAACATTTTCAGATTGTTCCCTGAGCTTTCAACATACAGTTTATTAGATAGGAATGAATAATATGGTGTAATAAAACCCAGTGCTGGTGTGGCGGTCCTTATTTCTGTGTGTGTGGAAAGCCAAAGCTCGCATTAGAAACAATGGCCCACAAAGACATACGTACACATACAGACAGTCCACATACATCCACAATACCTGAGACATTCAAATATATAAAATAATGAGCAACAGTTCACTCAAATTGAGTGTGTAGTTTTCATTGCTAAATTGCAATAAGAGGACAAGTAGAATACTCACAGGAGGTAGACAGCCAGGCTGTGGAAGTCTGCTTGATGCAGCGTTTCTACTCCTACAGCACACAACACTGAGGCACAGGCATCAGAGAGAATAATTTAATGCATACACAGGAACCACATAAACTATTACAACAACAATTGTAGTATTATTATTATCATTATTATTATTATTAGTAGTAGTAGTAGATTTATCAAGGCCTCCTGCAATCTGTTTGGTTAGTTGAATCCTACACTCTGGCTAATTGAATCCTGCAATCCTGCTATGATTAGCTACTGGAATCAGGCAATCTAATTGGCCGGTTGAATTCTGTGATCTGATTGGCCAGTGCAGTCTAATGCTCCGATTGGGTAGCTGAATCTTGCTATCTGATTGGCTAGTCAAAACCTGTGCTCTGATTAACTACTTAAATCCTGATTGCCAATCCTGTAATCTAATTGGCTCATTGAATTTCCCCTTCTGCAATCAGGTGGCTTGTTCATTTTTGACTGAATGTACTCCAAAGGCTAGTTGTTTCTCTCCTGCAATGTGATTAACTTGAATTGATCCCTGTAAACTCCTGCCGGGCACATACAAATGGACACATGCTGAAACAGTGTAGTGTAGCCAACCTATGCATTACTTTTGCTTTGGAACCATAAGAGGAAATCTGAATACCCAGGGAATGCCCTTGTAAATACACAACATAAACATGGAAGCTCAACCAGATGGGACTTGAACCCCCAACCCTGTGAGGCAATACAAGATACATTTAGGTATTTCACAGACACTCTTATCCAAAAGCATTAATAGTAGGTGAATGTAGCATTAGGAGTTGTGTCTAGATCCTAATAGTCTAGTACTGCGATTTTGGCTACACTAAATTGCTGCAGTGTGTAGCCTTTCTTTAATTATTAATGCCCTCTGAAACACATGATGTTAACATACAATCAAGGCTGCACTTTTGGTATATTAAGCATGGCCCCCTTATGCCCACCTATAGCATGCAGGTTGAGTAGTAGTAGTAGTAGAAGATGGCAGAGAAATTGTGTATTTTGTGCTGTGCATATGCATGCAGGACTGCACTGACCAAAACATGTCACTATGTGTGCTGTGGTTAGTGTTTGAGTAGGGGTTTCCTACAACCACTAGATGTCAGATTTGACACACAAATTCAGTCAAATTGCCTCAAACGTCTTTCTCCAGTACAGTGTTATTTCATTAAATAAATTAACTTTGTGAAATAAAATATTATAATGCTTCCAGAATATATAGCGCTTGCAATATGTTAAGTTTGAACATTACTGTAAAATTATTTTTAAAAACTGCTTTTAAGTTACTAACTATGCCCCCTCTTTGTCTTGTACATCTTTTTTTTACACTCAACTTATTTTTGTTTTCTTTATTAAATTTCAGTGAATCCTGAATGTCAGAAGTCAGAAGTTCATAATCTCTCAAACATTTCTGACAACAAAATTGACATAAAATGAGAGAACATGGTCTGTCCATTATCTGTTGGAACAAAAATAACCCTTTTCAAAATAGAACTAAAAATGATTGATTTATTGCTTTTAATGGTTACAAAAAGTCCCAAAAAGAAATGTATTTAAAATCATAGGTCACAGGGATGTAAATCGTCCTCCTGAAGGGACAATGACCTCTCCTGTGAGATTGTTTAGGGAGGCAAGCATGAGTAATGCGGCCATTCCTCTCAATGATTTAAACGAGCCACTCTCAACAGCGTAATGTTTGGAAAAGCAGTGTGGTGGATGGGGATTCTCAGTGGAGGAGTAACATGTAGTAAACCCAAATTCATGATACATTATGTGTTCAAGTGTTTTTATATGTCTGCATCCTAAATCGACCCCATTTTGACCTTAGTGGAAATATTTTAGTAAATGTCTGGGGAAACAGGCAAACCAGAGGTCTGCTAAGCCTTAATTTGGACATGATGTCCAGAAATCTTCATTGCAGATTTTTTAATACAGTCTCATCAAACAATAACTTTTGACCTTATCCGTATACTGATGCAGCCATTATTTGAAACAATAAACAAAAAGACAAACAAATGAACAAACAAAGCTTAGGCCATGATGAACTACAGGTCTCAACAACATGAATGATCATGAGAAAATCCAGTCAGTGATTACATCAAAAAAAGCAGCACCATATTGCAAAGTCCTACCTGCAGCAGTTGAGATGCCAAGAACTCTGCATGCACATTCCACCACAACCCACCAAACTGAGCCCCCCATTGTCAAAGTCAGAGACCTGCTCCACTCAGTGTCCTGTTAATGTAATAGAATGATACAATTCCACTGGTAAGAGGAACTTGAAGCTGTAGCTGTGTGTGTAGGTAGTAGCACCATGGCAGCACAGGCCCTTGGCTGATAATCTCTCCGCCTGAGCTGGAGGGTGCCGTAGGCTGGGTACAAGTAAGGGTTTTACCCTGCTAATCTGCCTAATATAACAGTGGAAACCTTCACACTGACCACCCCCAGCTGGTTGATGCATTCCACCTCCCTTTAAGGTGAGGGATAAAACGTAATAAGAAATTCAGCAGTTTCCCTTAAAGAATATAAGTATTGCAGATGAGGCAACCATGTCTTAAAGATAACACACATGCACACATGGTACTACACACGCACACACAAAGGTGAGTCGTATTGACTTATTTGACCTTCATAAGAAAGTCTTTCATCTCTCTCACAGAGCTGCTGAGGGATATAAGGGATAAATGACCTAGCACCAATCAGGCTATTCATCAAAACTGTCCATACTAGAAGACCAGTGTATTTTTCTGAACAGGACGTGCACTGAGAGACTCACGTACATCTGGCCGATAAGCTAGTCTAAACAAGATGATTAATGGTGGTTGGAGTAGGTCTGCAGCCCATGCACACATTCAGAGAGACTAGATCTGACATGAGGCAGACGGTCATCAGTGCAGAGCAGACACTGTATCTACCAGCTTATAGGTACCTGTGTCAGAGGTCAGCCATGCAGTCCCTCTCTGTCACAACACATTACGACAGATTATAACCACAACAGCATGACAGCAGGCAGCATAGTGTGATCAGACATGAAAGAAAGTGGGTTCAGCACGATAGCAGTTTCTATAAATCATGTACATGTAGATTTATAGTACATTTACCAGAATGTTCGAAAGTATCCAGACATATCTTCTAATTAGTGAACTTGAAGAAGTGTACCCATGGCTGACACTGGCATTCAGTTGCACATAGCTGGTTTAATCTCCATAGAAAAGCATGGCAAATAGAATGGGACACTTTGGAGCAGCTGCACATGAGCCCAATGCCAAACATTGGCTAGAGGGGTATAAAGTCCCCCAGCATTGAGATGTGGAGCAGCAAAACTGCATTCCCTGCAATGAAGTGCCATTGAATACCTTTGGGATGAGATGGAGAGGCATTTGTGATCTAATCACCCAACCTCAGTTCCTGACCTTACTAATGCCCTTGTGGCTGAATTCAATCAAATGCTCAAAAGATTCTAACTTCTGATTTAAAGCTTTCCTAGGAGAGTAGAGGCTGTTCTTACATCAAAATGGGGACAAAGAGGGGACCTGTTAGTACGCATGATTCTGGAAGAATTGCTGGATGAGTGTGTGTCTACAAACTTTATTTAAATACAATTTAGTGAGGCTGGAGCAGTGGAAATGTATTCCGTGGAGTGATAAAATGCGCCTCTTTATCCAGCAGTCTGAAGGACGAGTCTGGGTTTGGCGAATGCCAGGAGAACATTACCTGCCTAACTGCCTTGTGCCAACTGTAAAGTTTGGTGGAGGAGGGATAATGCTATGGGGTCGTTTTTCAGGGGTTGGCCTAGACCCCTTAGTTCCAGTGAAGGGAAATCGTAATGCTTCAGCAGACCAGGACATTTTGCACAATTGTATGCTTCCAAGTTTGTATGCTTCCAAGCTCTTTTCTGTTCCAGCATGACTCTGCCCCATCAAACACCTTTGGGATGAACTAGAATGGAGATTGCGAGGCAGGTCCTCTCGTCCAACCTCAGTGTCTGACTTCACAAATGCTCTTCTGGATGAATGGGCAAAAGAATTCCCACAGACACACTCCAAACTCTTGTAGAAAGCCTTTCCAGAAGAGTGGAATGTTATAGTTGCAAAGGAGGGACCAACTCCATGTTAATGCCTATGGATTTAGAACGGGATGTCGTAAAAGCTCCTGTAGGTGTAACATGTAGGTGTTCAAATATTTTTGTCAATACAATGGATATTACATGTGGAAAATTAATCCCCTCCCCCCTTCCATTGGTTGTGCCACCTGTAGCAGCAACAACCTACAACCAAACGCTTTCTATAACTGGAGTTCAGTCTTTCACATGAAGGAATTTTTGGCCTTCTTTGCAGAATTGCTGTAATTCAGCCACATTAGAGGGCTTTCAAGCATGAACTGCCTGTTTAAGGTCCTGCCAGGTCTCATAACAGGCTCAGAACTTTTACTTGGCCACAACAGAACTTTAATTTTACTTTACTTAACTTTTTAAGAGTTAGAGGTGGACTAACTCTTGTGGTTCAGATTGTTGTCTTGCAGCAGAACCCAGTTGCACTTGACCTTCAGGATCATAGAAAGTTCTATTTATATGAATAATTCTATTTAAGTTTGGATTCATTAGGGCTGACAGTAATCAAGCCTGGGTATGTCTAGTTTAATTGTTCCCAATTATCAACTAAATTTGCTAAATGAAATGATAATTTATAAACTATGTTGTGTAAACTCAGGTTGTCTTCGTCTTATATTAATTTTTGTTTGCTCATCTGAAACAATTAAGCTGACAAATAAGCAAAAAATACAACAAGTCAGGCACTGTAGACTGAAGAGAAGGCACAAACATTTTAAAATAAGTGAGGATCATAAATTCTCAGGGTTTACTTGCTGTATGGAAAATCTGTGCACTAGAGGAGCTACAGAGCCATTAAAGAGCTCTTGGCGTGTGAGGCCTCATGGAAAACACAGTATGTGCTACAGGTAAATGGGTCCAGAGTTAAGGCTGTTTTGGATCGGCCTGGCAATAGTTCTGCCCCGCTCTAATTTATAGCTGATACCCAAGTTGACTCCTGTTGTGAGGAAAAATGTAAATCTCCTTACACTGCACACAAGGCTACCTTTGTTTTCGGCCTGGGTTAAGTCATTTGCAGATTAGCAGGCATGCTGTATTATTTCAGGTATGTGTGTGTGTTCCTGACTCAAACTGTGAGACCAGTCAGCAGGCGTAAACAAGTGCAGAACAGTAATGAGAGCAAGGGTACCATTTCTTGAATTTCTTGAGTACTACACTTCAAAATACAACCACATTTACAAGAAGAATGAGTCACAGATTATGATCTAAATTCTTCAACCAGTTTATTTTATATCTAATGTTTTGAAGGAAGTTGGTGATTAGACATTCTTAGCTGACTCTATCCATGGATTTCCACAGCATTAAATATTACTGCAAGTGCTCGGGTGCTTAGACAGTTTTGTCTTCATATCCTGAGTCTGGTGTCTGTGTGAGTCAAAGGGGTTCATTTTCTCTCCCACCCACAACAGGTCTCTGGACCTCCAGCAGCGCAATGTGTGTCTCTCCAGCTTTGAGTTTGGCCCTCTTTTACTTCAGTTAAGCAGACCATCATGTCTGTTGATCCAGATGCAAGAAAATAGATTGTAAGGCACTAGAGACAGCCAGAGACCTTTTGGATGGGTTTGCATGTGCAGCTTATGTATACTGTACATAATGTAATGCAGAAATCCATGCATAAAATGTAAAAAATACCTCTTCTTTTATATTCACATATATATCTCCAACAAAAAGAAGCAAAACACCAGATTTTTCTATCTGGTTTATCTTCAAATGTATATATTTCAGCATAAGTAAGAAGCGTGACCACAAAGGATCACTGGATAATGCAACTCTGCAAGACTGAATGCTTAGTGTTTAGCCTCAGAATTAGAGAAGCTAGGAAGGCTGTTAATAACAGACAATAATGATTTCTCATCTTTTTGGGGGCCATAATGGAGCAAATGCACCTACAAAAGTAATTTTGTCACTTCTGTTGGATACAATTAAATTGATCATGGTAGACTTGATAGGATCCCTAATTGTTCAGTCTAGTTGGTTCAGTAATAAGCTGTGTTAGGGAGAAGTTTCCTTAGGTAATCGGATGCATTAGTCAACCAGTTAAGATTAAAATCACCTAGGATCAACGTTTCTGAGTCAGTGTGTAGAGATAAAAGCACAGTTAAGTCATCAACTGCATCAAAGGGAGCAGAAGCAGGCGTGTAGATCCCTGCTAAAATAAAGAGCTGTTCTGCCCTGAGCACTCATTCAGGGCTAGAAATCCAAAACATTTCTCTTTAGAGACTGCATTAAGAGTTTTAGCTTAGATATTATATCAAATGTAAATTGCTACACCGGTACCCCTCATTTTCCTGTCAGATCTATAAAGATCATAACCACTTAGGGCTACTTCGAAATCACTTACACACTGTCTAAGCCAGGCTTCCATTAGCACCACAATATCTAAGTCAGACAGTGAGATCAAAATCTTGAGATGCTTCAATTTATCGTGTTGAGGTAGGCTTCTAATGTGAATAAGTGAATTATGTCTATAGGCCTTTTTGGCCTGTTCTAGGCATAGATTTTGAGATCAGTGAGACAGTGTGACACTATGATGCTCTGACAATGTTGGAGTTTAAAGGAACAGCACTTATATGAAAAGTAACAGCACTTTCCGTGCACTTATAGCCTTATATTTTCATCTTTTATTAACAAAAATGTCTTTAGTCACTTATTTGTTTAATCTATAAACATTTTCAAGGTATGAATGACAATGTATGAAATTGTTGCCTTTCTCACATGACAAGCAGTGCATTTCCAGTCAAGTGAGAGAATGCCTTATCTATAGTGAGGTACACATATCACTTGTGGCACCAAGAGCATTAATCTTGCTGCCACAAAGATGACAGACTTAAATAAAACAGAGTACTAAGTAGTGACAGACTGACAAAAACATGGCACATCTTAGAGGCACTGCACTCAGCAGGCAGGCTCATTTACCTTAGTCATTTCTGACAATCTTACAGCCATAATATATCTCAATTAATCACACAGCTAATAGTGTAATGGTGTTAATGACCACATGTTAGTGACAGGCAACATGTTGAAGCCACCTTGCCTGCTGCTGAAATAATAAAGGTGAGTTCAGGCTGGGGCATGGCTGACAGGACAGATTTCA